TCCTGTGCACATTTCCAACACGAGCAACAATACACGTGCCTCCCAACCACGCTCCCCGTCACCCCCCCCCCCCCCCCGATGCTGTGTTTCACCACTTCAGCCTGTCTCTCAAATATCTGCCCAGTGATCGGAAAACTAAACAGTGCAGTTTTTGGAGGGAAAACTGCATCGCGGCGAAATGACCCAAGTCCTCCTGAACGACCGTCAAACATGTTATTGGTGACAGTTCAAGGGGTACGGGTGTTGGCTTTAGTGGACACGGGAGTATCTATTTCAGTTATGCATGCCGACTTGTGCTCTCGATTGCGGAAAGTGAAGACGCCCTATCTTGGATCATCCTTGATTGGGCCAATGGAGAAATAATAAGAACATCGGCTCAATGTACAGCGCGTGTCTTCATTGATGGTATTCGTCATCACATCACCTTCGCTGTCTTAATTTCGTGTGCTCATGAACTAATTTTAGGTTGGGACTTTCTCTCATCAGCATCTGCATTAATTTCTTGCCGTCGACGTGTAGTCCAAATGACCGAGACTGATCACTGCAGCGAACGCGTCGACGAAAAACCATTACGTTTTTTTCACAGCTGCCGAATCCATACTCCTCCCGGGTCAGGAGCAACTCATCACCATCACTTCTCCGAATATTGCCAATGGTGACGTCCTTATCACCCCTTCCAGCCACTGTCTAGCTCGCGGCGTCATACTCCCCTCTAGCCTAGTGGGGTTCAAAGACAGTGCTACAATAATCCTTGGCCTGAACCCTACCCCGAAGCCTGTCCTTTTACCCCAAGGTTCTGCAGTGTCGTGTTATGTGGATACCCAACCGGTATCATTGGTCTCTCTTGACGCCTCGCCAGCTCATCCACAACAGGGCCAGCTTGTTACTTCCTCCTCCGTTGCTGCCAGGATAAATCCTCATCTTTCTGCTTCTCAACGTGAGGCGTTGCTGGATTTGTTAACGAAACACCAGTCCTCCTTCGACGCCAATGCTTCGGCACTCGGACAGAGCACAGTTGCGCATCATCACGTCAACACTAAAGGTCAGACTGTTGTACGCCGCCGTCCCTACCGAGCCTCCTTGGCCGAGCGCAAAATCATAGAGGAGAACGTGACTAATATGCTAAAAAGAAACATCATACAACCCTCTACCAGTTCTTGGTCATCACCCGTCGTGTTGGTACAAAAGAAGGATGGATCGGTGCAATTTTGTGTTGATTACCGCGCACTCAACCTAATTATCCGAAAAGATGTACATCTGATGCCCCGTATAGATGATGCACTTGACTCATTGCAAGGCGCCCAATGTTTCTTCACCCTTTACCTTCGGTCCGGATATTGGAAAATTCCAATGGACGAAGCATACAAAGAAAAGACCGCCTTTTCTATGCCCGAAGGTCTTTACGAGCTTAACGTAGTGCCATTCGGCCTGTGTGATGCTCCCGCCACATTCAGAAGGATGATCGACACTGTTCTTCGTGTCCTCAAGGGGACAACTTGTCTATGCTACCTTGATGATATCGTCGTCTTTTCTTCCCCTTTTGCTGATCATCTGCAACGCCTAGATCAAGTGCTCACATGTCAGTCCAACGCTGGACTTCAACTGAACACAAAGAACTGCCACTTCGGCAACACGGCTATAAAAGTTCTGGGACATCTCTTTCGTAAAGATGGCATCCAGCCCGATCCGGACGAAATTCCGCAGTCTTCAATTTTCCGCGCCCCTTTCGTTCCAAAGGACTACGCAGTTTCTTTGCACTCGCATTCTACTTTCGCCAATTCATTCGCAATTTCGTCCCCATGGCCGCTCCACTCTACAAGCTCCTTGCTAGTACCGGTTCCTTCGATCGGAATGATCAATGCGAAGCCTCATTTCAAGAACTCAAGCACACTCTGACATCTCCACCAGTGCTTTGTTATTTTGATGACAAGGCACCCACTTTATTACACACTGACGTTAGTGGACAAGAAAGCGGTGCCGTACTCCTCCAGCGCGACCATGCCTTTCGCCAGAGAGTTGTCACGTATGCAAGCTGCACTCTGATCTCTGCAGAGAAGAGGTACTCGATAACAGAACGAGAGTGCTTGGCTGTTGTCTGGTCCATTCAAAAATTTCGTCCGTATCTACATGGTCGACATTTTACTGTTGTGACAGACGACCATGCTCTTTGTTGGTTGTCCACAATCAAAAACTTGTCAGACGACTTGGTTGCTGAATACTCCGGTTACAATCATATGATTTTGACGTCATCTACAAGATCGGAAGGCAACACCAAGATGCCGACGCTTTGTCACGGTGCTCATTGTTACAGTCTTCGGCACACGTCACATCCCCTTGTCAAATTGGCTAGTGAAGGACGCCTCGTCAATATCTTCCATTTCTTCCTTACCTTCATTCACCCGTCCGTCAGTACTCACCGTTCACCAGCGAGTCCATTCTCATCGCACTGACCTCCTCGATCGGCTTACCGGTGCCTTATCTTCCCCAAATGCCAGGCTCCGGAAACAACTCCGGCTATTCAAGTTGGAGGACGATGTGCTCTATTGATACATTTTCCATCCTGACGGTCATCGATGCGTTCCCGTCGTACCACGTGCAATACGCTCTGAAATTCTGTGCGCTTCACATGACGACCCGACGTCAGGCCACTTGCGTTACTACAAAACCTACGAGTGCAACCGCAGTCGATTCTTCTGGCCAGGTATTTCCACAACGGTAGCTAAGTATATTGCCTGGTGCGCACTTTGCCAACACCGCAAACGGCCCACTACTGCTCCAGTCAGGACCCTACAACCATTTTCTTGCCCAGCACAGCCGTTCTCTGTCATCGGAATTGACCTCATCGGGCCCCTCCCAACTACATGGATCGTCAACGCGGTTGATCACTTGACCCGGTACGCTGAGATGGCCTCGATCACTTCAGAAACTATTTCCGAAGTACCAACTTTCCTCTTGAATGCTATTTACCTACGTCACGAAGCCCCTCGTGTTCTTTCGAGCGACCAGGGCAAGGCATTTCTTTCAAGCACGCTCAGTGAAGTTCTTCAAGCGTCAAAAGCAGTTCAAAAACAACATCTAGCTATCACCCGCAAACCTATAGCTTAACGGAAAGATTTCATCGCCCGCTCTACGACATGCTGTCCATGTATATCCGACCGGACCATCGCAACTGGAATGCCATTCTTCCCTTTGTCACGTATGCATATAACACGTCAGTTCAACAAACCACAGGCTATTCTCCATTTTTCCTAGTATACAAACGCCAACCGACATCACCACTCGACGTTTCATTCTTTTCTGGCCCCATCAACGCTTCACCATTCATATGCGACCAGTTTTTGTCCCGTGTAGCTCAATCGTCGTCTTGCCCGTGTAAACACCGAAGCTAGCCAAGAAGATCGCAAACATCGCGTCGTTCTCTATCACACTAGTGACGAAGGTTTCATCGCACGCTCTGCGACATGCTGTCCATGTATATCCGACCGGGTCATCACAACTGGAATGCCATTCTTCCCTTTGTCACGTATGCATATAACACGTCAGTTCAACAAACCACAGGCTATTCTCCATTTTTCCTAGTATACGGACGCCAACCGACATCACCACTCGACGTTTCATTTTTTTCTGGCCCCATCAACGCTTCTCCATTCAATTGCGACCAGTTTTTGTCCAGTGTAGCTCAATGCCGTCGTTTTGCCCGTGTACACAGAAGCTAGCCAAGAAGATCGCAAACATCGCGTCGTTCTCTATCACACTAGTGACGATGTACTTTTGTGGACTCATGCACGAACGCCTGGCTTATGCGAGAAGCTTGAGTCACGCTATCTTGGCCCGTACAAAGTTGTCGAACAGACATCACAGGTGAAATACCGTACCACACCTGTTCATGCCCCCACTGACCAACGCTGCCACGGAACAGAGATTGTGCATGTTTCGCGTCTCAAGCCTTATCGTATGCGTTCCACAGCGTGATTCCTGGCCAGGCTGGCCTCTTCCATCAACGGTAGAAATTAGTGTAAATATTCATTGCACTCCATCTTCCTCATCAGTCAATAACCATCACCAGTCTTCGCTTCGGTATCTTCATCATCGGCGCCATCTTGCTGTTGCTTGAATAAAGCGTCAGCTGAACAGTGGTATTTCAATATTGTAATTATGGACAACGGTCAATTACAGCACCCTCATAGCAACTGTACAATTACAGATATGGAATCGATAATTTCTGCGTAACACAAGGACAGAAATTTTTTCATACAACAATCACCCACTCTGGATAACATGCACGGCAGAGAAAAGGCTGGAAGCCTGTGTGAAGGCTGGGCTTTTGCTGTGGCTTCTGTGATAGTGTTACACGCAGTGAGCTTCTGATTTTTTCAAGTCTGTCACCACTGATTCTTCGAAGTTTTCTCGTTGACAGGTCAACTGCTGCACATACTGATTACTCAGTGCATGCACCGGGGGCAAGTCTGGTGGCACAACGTAATACCAACATGCGCACCATCTTGTTGTCGCACAATGCTTCGATGCTAGTATCCACATCCCCTATGAAGCACCGAGATTCGTGATCACTTGCACTCGGGTGATGCATTGCTCATAAAGTCATGGAAAATGTGTAAAGTTAGGCTTTGTAGAGCCCCCTGTATAGGCGGACCAAGTCCGCCACTGGATGGTTGCACACTTCAAGGGACGATAACTGCTGTCGAAGACTGGCTAAAACTTTATTTGGTTGAAAGTTTGTGTTTTATTACAGGTAATAATTTTTTGAATTGTAATTGAATTAGTCAAGCATTTGTTTCGAAAAAGACAATCGGTTATATTGTGAACTTAACAGGAGGTATGATTTACTACAAGTAATTTATTCCTTGTGGCCCGTTACGTGCAGCTGTGGCAACAAGCGAGACATCTGAAGGCACTGCATGCGTTCGACAGCGCTGTAACTGAAGCCGTGGAGTATTGCTGACTTGACTGTATATGTGTTCCTTCATGACCATTGTTTTCAGGCGATACCGAGAAACTGGCTATGACACGTGGCTCTAGGAAGTCGGTCTCCACTCTAGCAGTGAACCAGTCACGCCAGTCACGCAGATATCCAGATTCAATGCGCGACAGCACGATTAGGAACGCAGTGAACGCGGCGAACAAGAAGGAGAAAGGCAAAGGCGCAGAGACGGTGCCTGCCAGGCCGTCGACAACTACTTTGAGCGCATGGAAAGCGGCCACCAAGGCCGATCCATCGAAAACTGGCGGTAGCCGACGCAAGCCCAGTGCATGGGAGACCTGGAAGTACCCAGCGTATGGCTTCGGGGGAGGTGTCCTGTTTCTTGTACTCACCATTCTTCTGTACAGGGTTCGTATCGCGTTTACTACGTTCGTATCACTGGTTAAATCTTGCAAACAGTATTGTACTGTGACTGGGCGAATCCAACAGCCGTAAAGATTGGGAGAGCTTTTGTAGCGTGGACACTCTTGTCTCGTATAAATTTCACCCCTTAAATTCTTGATCAATAGAACCGGAGTGTGCTAGGGTTTATTAGTCACGTGCAATTTAGGCACTTTCTAAGAGTTTGTCAGTGGACGAAATAATCCTTTACCAAGCAGATTCTACGCCACGATCATTATCAAAGGCCGTACTTAAGAGTACGGCCTTTGATAATGATCGTGGCGTTCAAGGATCGAAGAGTCTCGGTAAGCAGTGACCACAGGTTCACATGCCTCTATGCTGCACAATATTTTTTTATGAAAAAAGAACCCAAATACGACACGCAGAGCTCCCTTTTTGTCGCGAGTCTCTGCTGTACACTACTGCCTGCAAAATTGAGAAACAGAACTACCTGTCAATACCATACTGCTTCAGCAAGCCCACCAAATTAAGCCTCAAGTATTCGCTCGCATGATTAAGCCGCTATAGTTATCTTTGTTCTCTCCCCATTTTTCCGGCATGGCAGCAAGTATCATGAGAATACCCACGATGCCTTTTTAGTGGTAGACAGTAAACATAACGTATATTATCAGGAATGGTCTATTACAATATATTGGAGTGTCTAGATGGGCGTCTTTGCATATATGCAGTGCCGGAGAAGAAAGCGTTACAGGAGTCTACCAAACAGCAAGAAATGATTTGTGTGGTCAATGGCCTTACCTGTATGCCACTTTTTACTGTACATTTCCCAATGAAGAAAAACATTGCAAAAATGCGTAAGTGAAAGTGGCACAAGTTAGAAGCAGAGGATATCAAGAATGACGTACTCGTCTTCCACCTGCATTTTCCGCTTTCATTTTTCTTTGTCTTTGGCAAAGGAAGCATATGGCATAGCTTGGTGCAGAATACCAGCGTCGGTATACCTCGGAAACATGGGCGAAGCATGCATCTTGGACTATCATAAAATACATTCCTCTTTTCATAAGTTCGTAAAATTTACATAAGGGTTCATTGATTAATAACGACTGAGAACTGCATTATTTAAATGAATGGGTGAGGCTTCATATACCGTACTCTTTTCCGTAGGGCTACATCAACTAACACTCAAATGCAGTCTGACTTATTGCTGCACTCAGGCTGCTTCTCCGAAGTGAATACCCTCACTACCGAGGCTTGGCTTGCAGCAGCAAAGATTCATTGAGATCTAGCTTGTTACTGAGATTGTGCATCGAGTTCTTGCACAATTGCCTAGTTTTTAAATGACCGCGTCCACTTTTGTATGCGTCATAATGAAGACATCATCGTAGGAAAGAAACATGCGCAATATTTCACAGGTCGCATAATGAGGAATGCACAAAGTAGTACAAAGAGATAAAGGGAGAGCGTATCAAGATGACATCTAGCTTCACAAAGTCAGAAGAGGCACTAATGAAACCATCTTGGTAGGAAGCCTACAACTTTTTCACAGGAACACGAGACACGAGTGCTTTACTTCAACCAAACGTTTATTGCAAACATTTATTTGCACTATGAACTATGAAACGTTGTTTTAATGAAAGTGCTTTGTCCAGGTGTTTTGTGAATAATACTTTTATATGAAGTAATATAACCAACAAAATTTATCCCAGGTTATGTTCCCGTACCCCATGATACCGACCAAGTTCTACTCCATCTGCGAAACGGGTGGCTGCGCCGAATTCAGCCGCCTCATTCGCAGCAGCCTCAACACGGCGCTTGATCCGTGTGAGAATTTCTACCGCTTCGTGTGTTCCAACTGGGACTCGCAGCACAACGTCAGCATGCGACAGAGACACCTAGATGACTACGTGGCATCGCTGGCTACCATGGCCCGTGGCGTGTCCCCGCCCACCGAAGGTACACGTCAGAATCTGCGTCAGAAGGTGGCGCTGCTTTATCAGAGCTGCGAGGCCGTGGCTCACAGGCACCGTGACGACACCGGACAGTTCCGTGACCTCCTGGCACAAGGTGGTCTGACTTGGCCGCAGGTGAGTACATCGGGCATGTTTCCTTCATGGTTGCGTTATAAACCAGTCAGATAAGGTTTAAGAGTGTACACGCCTATATGATGCAGCTTGGCAGCTGTCGCACACTGTGCTCCAAAAGTGACCATCTGGACTACGCACTTCCAAAAGAAAGTGGGCGTGTGGCGTTTGACATGCGCGGGTGTAAGTCATCTTAAAAGGGGCCCTGCAGCGCTTTATGAGCATGGTCAGGAAACACTGCAGATCGGTAGTAGAGGCTCCCGAGAACATCCGAGCCAAATGTTATACCGCAGTACGCGGCCTGAAAGTCTCAATAATTCATCAAAGCCAGCTGAAAGTAGCTTTCGTTACCCACGACAAATGAAAAGAGACGCTCAAAAATCACACGTAAATTGCCCATCTATCAGCATTGACTGGTTTGAACATGGCGCGCTTGGTTGTTACAGAGATCGCCATGAGAGGCCGTCACTTGTCCATGCGTGCACGGAAAAAGCTGCTTATTCCTAGGAAAAAAAAAGTTAAAAAGTTGTGAAGGTCTCAAAACACGCAGGACGTTTTCTGTTTGCCCCTCCCATACCTCCCTTTTTAGCTTTCAGCGCCTTCGTCGGGACGAGAAAAACGAGAATGCGATTGCAGCGTATGACAATATTTGCAACTCTGCTCGTCCTGTACGGACTCCTAAATTTTTTTGCGACGTTGAATTTGTAAAGTAATACACTTTTCCAGTGAAATAATTTCATGGTCACTAAAAAAAGCATTTCAGGGCCCTTTATCATTTATAGAATGTCACAACGGAAATGCCTGTTTATTAGATGTTGTGTTGTATCATAGGGCGAGCCAGACATTCTCTTGTTATTGACTTCTATATATGAAACATGATGTCTGTGGTAGTGTTCGTGTGGATACGTCATAGTTAGTGGCGCTACGTCATAAAAACCACAGTAGTAGCACATGCCTGATGATGGCACTGTTACTGTGAGATACAACTATCGGGCTTCGATGGAGTCCTCTAGGCCATAAGCGAAAAATTCACTGTGTAAGTTTCATTCGTTACTCCATCAAATCAAGTAATGCCAGCTATCGAGAGTGAAGAATTACAGGAGGGTGGCTGCTCATTGGTCTTCTGTGTAAGATATGTAAAAGCTGGCAAAGATTCCCTCGACTATACGCAGACCTAATTACTCGGAATATTCATGTTAAGTTTTTTAGTCGTTTTCGGCAGTTGCTATAGTGCATAGAAGACACAGCAATCGGGCTTGTTCGTATCGATCTATAACTCTTGTAAGCGCTAAAGACACGTAGGTAAGACGACTGAAGTAGACTGAATAATGGTGTACAATGAAGCACAACGCTTGTACCGCGTACTTCACTCGTTTGCATATGTTATGGCTATACTGTTTTAGTGTCATTATTGTTATCACTGTTACATTTTTCGGAACTCGAGCCTTGTTTTGTTGTGTGTTGTTTGAGTAATATTGCTGACACTCATTTAGGCAGTTGTCATTGCTGCTGTGTTCAAACGCGGCTGTGGCCTTGGTGAAGCTGTCTTTTCAGAAAGAAGCTTTCAGCTACAGCTGTCATTCATCAAATGGATTATTAAAATTTATAATATATTTGTATTAATGATATTTATAATGACAATATTAGGCATAATAATAACTGTGGTTTCTTCAACGTGCCCTCAAAAAACCATTAGGTATTAGTACGGGCGCACGCAAACATAAAACGATACAAATAAACAATACAATACAGTCTCTCTTCAGAAAAATTTAATAAAGAGACTGAAAACGCTCAAACAGAAAACATCGCAAAATGGGAGTAATAAAGGTCACAGTTTCGCCAAAAGGACGAAGACATGAATGTGACAGCAACATATTCGAATGTTTTAAGAAGGTAGGCTAGCATTTAGGAGCAATATCAGTTGTAGTAAACGTGCGCTTGCGAAGTAACAAGTTTCCGGCGGCTGCGGCCACAGTAGATGACCACAACAAGGCTCGTGCGTAGTAACAGCGTCAATATACAAAGTGAGGCTCCTAGTCAACTCATTTAGATCCGATCTCACGTCACTCCACGAAACGCTGGTGAAAGAGAAAAGGGCTGCTCCAGGTAGACTTTTGCACAATTTTTTATGCTGAGAGCGCAGCCTGTAGAAGCTCCTGACTGCTGGGGGGGGGCACAAGCTTACGCAGATTGTTGCCGCGATAGCGCGGCTACCATAAGCGCCCCCCCCCTCTTGTTCGCTTATGATATAAACAGAAGGTTAGTGCATCCTTCTCTCTCTCTCTCTCTCTCTTTCTCTCTCTCTCTCTCTCTCTCTATATATATATATATATATATATATATGTTTATATATATATGTATATATATATATATATATATATATATATATATATATATATATATATATATATACAACGACAGCAAAATCCAGCCAAGACTGTCAATATAAGTGCTGTCGCAATAAAAAAAAGTCGATAATGATGAAATGGCAGTAGAAAATAAAGGCTACTATTGAGAATTATGTAGAAACCTTCCTGGAAGATGGAAAAAAGAATGTGTATAACGTGAAAAAAAATTGAGATAAGAACAAGGACAGTGGTCTGTGAAAAACGTCAAGGTGATAAAAGTTAACATAATATAAATTTTGTATTCTGTGAAAAGTAGAGTGTTCAAAGAGGTTGGTAGGTACATGAATGGTTGATCCTTTGTTCTCGTTAACCTGCGGAATCCGAAAATTTACACAACTAAGAAGTAAAAGGAGGGGATGATGCCGTCAACTATAGCTTGTAAAGAAATAACAGGTCAACGCAGTTCCGTCGGTAGGGAAGTGATGGCAATGATAAAAATCTGGCAGTGTTAGAACGACATCCGCAGCTATTTCTACCAAAGCGATGCTTCTAATTGCTTATGAATTTTTTGTTGATTTCGCTGAATGTCGTCACCGCCAGCTTTATGGATGCCGTTCCCAGATCACAGATGCATATTCACGTTGAGAAAGACATACTGGAGTGTACAATTTGTGGAAAGCTGTAGGAGAACGGAATTCTCAAGATATTGTCCAAACAGATACGGCGAACGAAGGCCACGCATTGGAGAACATTGAGTGTGAGCAGAAAGATTTAGCATACTATCAAAAAGAACATCTAGATCACTGAATTCATTAAGTTTACATAAGAACATGGTATTAAAAGTGTAGGAAAACAACGCGATGGATGTATTGGAAGATATCCTCATCCATTTGGTCTGTGAGGCATTAGAGAAAGGTTATTGTCTCACCTTTTGGAGAAGGAACACCAGTCATACCGCAGCAGTGCAACAGTCGCTAACTGAATGAATTTCTTTCAATATCTTGATGTCACCAGCATACACGAGAAGAGAAGAATACCAAACTAGTGAAGAAACATTCTTAATGTAAATAAAAAATAAGCGTGGGCCTAATACTGACCTTTGAACGACTCCACTAGCTACTTTGTACAAGAGAGACATTTGGCCATTTATGGCAATGTAACCTGATATATTTATCAGGTAGTTGTGCAGGAGAATCACAACAAATCAATCAAGATCAGAGTTTGTAAGTTTAACGAAAAAACAGTGAGTGGCTGACTGCGTCAGAAGCCTTGCTCCAGTAACAGTAGGCTACGTCAACCTCTCCGCTCTGAGAAATAGGTGAGGAGATCTGTATTTTGAAAACTAGCAAGATTTGTAGTAGTTGAACGCCTAGGAATAAAACTGTGTTGATTAAGAATCAAAGAGTTATTCACGATAACATACAATATGCTGTGAATAGCCATGACCAAAGAACTTCGACATGGCATACAGTGAGAAATCAGGCGATAGCTAGAAATGTCAGTTTAATCAGCCCGACTTAAATACTGTAAAAACACGCGCTGTTTCCAAATGCTGGGATAAGTGGAAGCTTTCAGGCAGTGCACGAGTATTGTAGTCAGAACTGGCGCTAAATATGCTACCACAGGCCTTTAGTATAGCGGAAAGCATGACGTCTTGGCCACACGATAAGGACAGTTTGAAGCGTCTAAAGCATGATCAAGGAACTTGGAACTTTTAATCCAGCGACAGACCGCTATAAATGTGCTGCCTTGCGCTGTTGCCATATCTGAGTTCTAGTGTCTTCAATTTTGTACACGGATGAAAAATGTTTAGCCAAACTGTCAGCAACGGCATGCTTCGACACTGTCCGTGTCAAGTAGCCGTAAAGACTCCCCACTCTTGCTAGACCTTTTGCGCACAGAATTCCAAAGCTCAGCTGGCCTGTCAGAAACATTTTCTAACATGAAAGGCATTATGCATGGGTTAGCAATGGCTCTGCTTACTCATTTTTGTCATGGCAGTGTTCTTGAAAAATTTACACTAAGAAAAGTGCGAGGAAAAAACAGGAAGGTGTTGTTGCTTCGAATTGAACCAGCAACCTCTCGATTCCCAGCGTCTGGCACTAACCACTGCGCCACAAAGCGTACATTGTACGGAATGCTAATGGCAAGCCAATAATATACGCCATACAGCATTCTGCAGTTTTCAGAGCTTCAGAACATTAGTGCATTTTGGTTATCAGAGGCAAAATGGCACGACGGGCTCGTGTTGGGTGCGCTCTGAAGGCCGTTGCGTCCACAAAGCCTGGTCTCTCCTGCGCGTGTGCTTATCATACTCGTAATTCGAGAAAGGACGCAGGTTACTTCGCACGCTGCCGCATCCGCGTTTACGAAAGGAGCTCTTTACTGAAACGCAACGCAGGAAGAATTGTGACAGTTTGTTTTTAGCGCATTTGAAGTGCATACTCCTGCGCTTGTTTTGTGCGTATATCTCTCTGTTTAAATGGCGTGCTTTGAATGTCGAGCTGCGACAGTTGTTAGTCGGTCCACGTCCTGTGTATGCTGATCTTGTGCGTGATTTCTGCTTGAGGTGTGCGCTGCATGTTTTGAGATGCTTGCCGTTCTTATGGTGATTTGCAATTTGCTTGCTTTTTCTGAAACAATGCATAATAAACGCTCAACCACCTATGTAAAGACACTGTTTCTCTTTCTTGTTATACCAATATTTATATAGAAGGATCAGCCGTGTTTTTTTCTAATAATCTCGTTCGTAAAGGCGTCAAGAGAGAGTTCTGAAAGAGCTCAACTATTCCTTCTTCTTGATGAACAGAGTAATTTAGCCTTCTTGTGCCCGCGATCTTTATGATTCAGTTCACTTATAAATTTAGGGGGAATATTTACGATGTTTAGGTGTACTACTGCGGTATAAAATTACGCATACTGTTCACTACAAGCTCTGTGAACTCCTCAACTTTGTCATCAACATTTGGTTTGTCAGTCCCCTTTGGCTAATCAATGTCTGACATGTAATAATAGAAGTACGTGTAGTCACGTCTCTTGAAAACAAATATTAGAGATTGGTTAAAATGGCTGCTGTAGGTTGTAGTTTCGTTACATAGAGATAATCCTACATTCAGTGGTCGGTGAAATTTGTCAGAACGAATAAAGAGATATAATATTATTATTATTATTACCATTATTATTATTATTAGTAGTAGTAGTAGTAGTAGTAGTAGTAGTATGTTCCGACTACCATATTTCAGTATTTGTGTACGAATAATGCTATAGAAAATACTCGGTTGCCTGTTGCTTCCAGAGTATGCAATTAAACAAGACGTCTTGTGATATAAACCAGACAACAAAAATAATAAGTGATATGTTCTCAGCCAGGAAGTAAATATGCATTTAGTCGCGTTGTCGCAGAGTGTCATCGTGCTTTGTAATTATGGCTAGAAATAGCTGGGGTGACCTGCATATGTCTGTTAAATGGTCATGAAAAGACCCACGAGCCGTAAATGATTATGAACATCAATCGTATCAAAGTTTACTTCATCCTATGAAGGAGAAATAAGTTGGTTGGAAAAGATCACTTGCTGCAGCTTGACTATAGGCCCGCAGTGTGCAGCACTGACTATATGTAGCTGACAGGCTAATATAGGCCAATGCACTTTGCATAGGTATGGAAATAAATGGAGCAGTAATACAATCCCACAGCGGTAGATGTATTAAGTGCACCCTGTTTATATAAACGATAGACAAAGCAATGCCATGGCGTCAAACAGAATACACAAAATCAATGATACAGTAATATACTGGTTGAATATTGTATTTAACTCGCCACAATGAAAATTTATTTTCCTCGCGTAGCTTCCGAACGAGCAGCCATCTGCTAGGAAAAACAGTGTATCATTCCTGGAAGCGCTAGTCTACAGCCACCTCCACGTCGGCTTTGACCCAGTATTCACTGTTGACCTGGCCGATGATGCCATAGTGACCATGCAACCAAAGGGCATCATCCCAGACTGGATTCACACTAGGGGGGAGTGGAAGGCAGTAGACAGGTACGACGACAAGTTACGCCATGTGTGCCGCCACTTCAGTGATCTGCGGAGCACGTGCGAAGCTGACGTCAAAGCATTCATAAGTGCCGACAACCAACTAAGCAACGCTTTGATCGTGCTCTTCAGGGATGATGATGGCCCTCTTCTGAACCGGAGCCAATTTGAAAACGCATTGTCGGCAAGGCCTTTCGATGCTTGGGCGCGCGTCTTCTCCGAACTGTTGAACATTACCCTGGAAAAAATAGGAGCACCCACCACAAGGTAAGTCAAATGGGTTTATAAACGAACTCGGATGCCTAGACAAAAGATGAAGGCAGGTAAACGCGGAAGCTCTTGGGTTATCTTTGCAAAGCAGTAACAACACGTCACCAGTTGAACATGAGCTTTCACCATCGTCGCTAACATGGTTCAATTAGCACATTCAAACATCCAATGGTCGAATCAATGAAATAAATATCTAGTTTTCTTACATCCCGTACACTACTCAATCAATGAATGACATTGGAACTTTCATCATCTGATGATGACTGATATGGGGGTTTAGCGTTCCAAAACCATTATGTGATTATGAGAGACGCCGTAGTGCAGATATCCGGAAATTTAGACCAGCTAGGGTTCTTTACCGTGCATCCATATCTGAGCACACGGACCTACAACATATCCGCCTCCACCGGAAATGTTTTTTTTATCATCTGGTGTTCTTTAACGTGCGTCCAACATACAGGGTGCCCCAGCTATCTCTAGCCAGAGTTTAAAAATATGCCAACACACGCAATTACGACGCGACCAATTGCATGTCGCTCACCGTTGCCTAAGGTTAGTCAGACTATTAGATGTGCTCTGAATTATCATTTAATAAATTTGTTTAGGTACCTATCTTTTGAAGGAACAAAGATGAATAAAAAAAGTTTAAATGAGAAAGTTATAGATTTGTTGGCGAAATTTTTGATTAGATAGTTTCAAACTATATATCTGTTAATTACAAGTGTTTTTCTTCTAACCCCAAATTCTTGCGAAATACAAAAAGATACCGTGACAAACATGCTCGCGTGTCAATGCGCACGGTGATTCTACTTCCTAACGTTCCACGTACATATGACCGTAGCAATTGCCTGATTGTGCCTGTCTCAACTAGGGCCTCAAAGATGATGGTGGCTTTGCTGATGAACACCTCTTCGCTATCGGTCACAAAAGTGATTACTGCTGTGACTGCTTATCGCTGTCATGAACCGGGGTGAACGAAGCGTATCGTTCTTACACGGAACGTTAGAGAGCACCAGAATCAAGGCGCCCGTAGGCGTACCAGTGAGATTGTCACGTGGTATTATTTTTTTGTTTCGCGGTCTTTGGCAGTTAGCAACAAACACAAATAACTACCAGACATATTGTTAAAACTGTCCAATCGAACATACTACAAATCGATCTACAGCTTTGTCATTGATTATTTTTATCCATCTTCGTTCCTTGAGAAGTTAGTTAATGAAACACTTCCAATAAACAATATTTTAAGCACGAAAATTAGTGTGAATAACTTCTGGCAACAGACAGCAACTTGCATTTGGTCACGTCATAATTGCGTGTGTCGGCATATTTTAATTAAAACTCTGGCTAGAGATAGGTGGGACACACTATGTCAATTCACCTCTGTCGAAATATAACCGCCATTGTCGGTATTCGAACCTGCGACCATAGGTTTAGCAGACAGTATCGGAGTTCAGCGAAGTGTTTCAGGCAATAGGCAAAACACATCGGGCAAGTTTAAGGGACGGCTTTATAAAATGCATTACTCCTAGGGACGACAGCGATGAATGAAAGGAATGTAACTGGTCTTTCTGCATGTGTATCTTTATGGCTTGAAATATCTAGTACTTGTGTAAAAATAATACTACCTAAAAGGCCAGCTGTTTTGTTACCTCAAAAGGTAATTAACCGTGCCTAATTGTCAAATACAGCAGAACAGGAAACAAAAAAAATGGTATATGATGACAGCTTGCGCCATGTGTGCCGCCACTTTAGTGGCCCACGGAGCACGCGTGAAACTGACGTCAAAGACTTCACGAGTGCTGACAGCCAACTAAGCAGAGCTATGATGAGTCATCACACATTTAGACCATATTTTACACCTTCTATGAACATGTTCGATAGGCTCGTCTATGTCACAGGTAACATGCAGTACTGAGGATGTGAGATATTTCGTTTCAATAGAATTCATGCTTCATGAATACTTAGTGTGTAATACACAGTGTGGTCGCCTTCTTTCACGCTGGATAATATTTTTGTCTGCACATATTGATTGCGACTTGCCTTTTTCTTTTCTGCTACGCATTGCTTCAATGACAGACAGAAAATAGGTTAGAGGAGTGATAAACAGCATACCCGCTTGTGAACCAAGTGCTAACCGATATCGTAGCTTTAAGCGATTGGTTCATAATCTAATACTGTACAAAAGGGTGATAATTTCAATAAAGGCGTTACCTTTGTTCTCATACTTAAGCTCAAGATGTAGGAACCGTTTAAATGCTACACTACCAATTCTGTGCAGTGAAATATCTTCAAAACGAAGAAAATACATTTTGTACGTCGAAGGTTGTTGATACGCCTTCTTACATTTTTCTTGCATTCGACAGCAGATACTGCACTGAATTAACTTATTTCGTTCAACCTTCGTAGCTACCATCCATTTTTATTTCAGTGTTGTTGTCACAAAAAGGCTTCTTTTTCGTCAGTGACTTAGATCTTGCAGCAGTCGGTACGCAAACGCCAGCATATTTTTGGGATCATCATCCCCACAGATTTCGCCTCAAGGACCCAGCTTTTTTCCGAGCTCTCAACTCGGCCCTCGCCAAATTAAACGAAGAGTCCTTTGTTGTGTACCTGACATGGCTGGCCATCTTACACCTCGGACCACTGTTCAGCGCCGAGCTGTCGGACGCGATATACGGCAGCACTTCATCAAGCCTGGTTGGGCGGGTTGTTGAAGCGCGCTGTCTAGTCTTCATGGAGAAATTGCTCGGTCAGGCCATGCCGGCAGCTTTCGTGCAACTTAACGTAGGAGATGAGGTGAGTTATGCGTTTTGGTACAGTTTTACATAACTATGTAAAACAAGAGCGAGTGCTTAATTTAACAATAGTTTTAACTAGCATAACGACTGCTGTTACACATAAACCTGTACAGACTCATGTGGTTGTGACGATGAATGCAATATTTGAAAAGATAGGGCTTATTTGCATATGTGATGGATGCCGTTGTACGAGAACAAGTTTTTTTTGTTTTGGCGAATTGTAAAGAGGGTGAAAAGAAGAGTCCACAGCGCAATAACATTCGTCAAAGGGTCGGTGACCTGTAAACAAAATTTTTGGCCACTGAAAGATGAGAGCGAGACGAGAAATTAAGTAATGAGCTTGAGAGATCTGAAAACCGATGCGCGAGGCCGTAGTCATGGTTGTCGTAGGGTTCTGTAATACCGTGGGTCAGGTATACTGACAACTTCAATGAGCAGTACAAATTTTTTTTCACAGTTTGGTGCAACTTAAAAAGTCATCACTGACACCAGCCGAATCACCGAAGTACTGCAGCGGGCTGCTCCCCCCACTAAAAAAATGGTCGAGCTTGGAAACTCGGAACTTTCTTCGATGGTATGGTTACTGGCCGTGTGGCTCCCGGCGTCAGCACAGAAAATGTCTATTGCTACAAGCTTTAACACTTTGCACATATCCCCATTGATAGTATGTTTTGATGTTTAAAACTTGTCTATTTGCCAAGTTTCAAACCCTTTTGGATCTCTTGCACTATCTAACGCGTAAAAGGAAAAGTACTTTATCAGTTTCGCTTTTGTGTTTTTCTTTTTTTCACCGTGTGTTGAGTGTAAAGCGCATTCTCATGCCCGCCAGTGAGCGTGCATAGTTTCAATCATTGCGTCGACATCGCGTGTGACGGCTTCACGAAAACGGTGAATTTCTGAAAATTCTCGTTCATCTGGGCTTGAATATTCAAATGACGACAACAGCACAGGTTCAGAAGACATCCACACTTTTGATATCAGCGCGGACGACGAGAGTTCGTCAAACCGTCTCGGAACATCAGTGGGCATCTACCGGGGAGTTAAGCATTCTGTTCGGGCCGCGTAATGGCTAGTGCGTGTTGGTGTAGGTTGACCCAATGTGTTCTGAGCGTCAAAGTTCTTATCTGCAGGACCTCCACTTCATTTGGGCAGGACTACGTGGTGACGGCAGCCCTTAGAGTTTAGTATCGTGCGCGGAGGCAGCAGGGAGTAAACCTTGAAGCCGCATGACGTTGTCCACGCGGCGCTTCATTAGCGCTCTCGACATTTAAAGACTATAATCTTTCTTGGGGACCTTCGACACAAAAGTTTTAGTCTGTCTGTTTGTCCGCCGTAAAGATACCCCAAACGACAAAAAACAATACCCCAAACTTCCAACCACATTCACAGTGCACACCAATCAAAATTAAGCGTTCATACTTGTGTCTAGCTGCACTATTCCAGGAGCTAGAGATTGTTAAATGGAATATAATAGGGCTCACTGATGTTAGGAGGAGAGATAAGGCCTATACAGTACTATAGAATGAACTCGTTCTTTGCTATCAGGGTTTGGCTGGCAGAAGAGAACTGGGAGTGTGGTTTCTCATTCACAGAAACATAGCTGGAAACATAGAGGAATACTTAGCAATAATAAAAGGGCAGTAGGTATTGTAATTAAACTCAATATGAGATACAAGATTAAGGTTGTACAGGTTTACGTGCCTACATCCAGCCATGATGACGCTTCAGTTGAAAGATTCTATGAAGACCTGGAATCGGCAATGAGTAAGGTAAAAGCACAGTTTACTATACTGATGAAGACCTTAATGCAAAGGTAGGGAAGAAGCAGGCTGGAGACCAGGCAGTGGGAGATTATGGCATCGGTACTAGAAATGCCAGAGGAACGTTACTAGTAGAATTTGCAGAACGCAATAATTTACCGATTTTGAATACCTTCTATAGAAAACGAGGAAACTGTAAGTGAACATGAAGGAGCTTTAATGGTGAAAATAAGAACGAAATAGACTTTATAATCAGTGCACACCCAGTCATCGTGCAGGATGTGGCAGTGCTTGGCAAGGTACGATGCAGTGACCATAGAATGGTACGGTGTCGAACTAGCCTAGACTTGAAGAAGGAACGACAGAAAGTGATACGCAAGAAGCCAATTAATGAGCTAGCACCGAAAAGGAAAGCAGAAAAATTCAGAGTTTCACTTCGGAACAGGTACTCTGCTCTTATCGAGGAAACCAGCCTTAGCATATACGCAATGAATGATAATCTGACGAGTATCACTACGGAGTGTGCCGTGGAAGTTCGAGGAACGATACTTAGACAGGAACTGGCAGGCTGTCTCAGAAAACAAAGGATCTTGTTAAGAAGTGTCAACGCATGAAAGCCTCAAGCACAACAAACAAAATAGAGTTAGTAGAGCTTTCAAGTTGATTAATAAGCTTAATATATCTGATAATAGAAGGTATACCATGGAGAGAAAAGAACACACTCTGAAGAATGGAGGAAGCGTCAAAGCAGTGAAGAGGAATCTTGGGATAGACAAAAATCGGATGTATGCACTAAGAGACAATAAGGCAAAATAACTACTAATATAGATAATTGATTGATTTGTGGTGTTTAACATCCCAAAACCACCATATGATTATGAGAGACGCCGTAGTGCAGGGCTCCGGAAACTTTGACCACCTGGGGTTCTTTAACGTGCACCCAAATCTCAGCACACGGGCCTACAACATTTCCGCCTCCATCGGAAATGCAGCCGCCGCAGCCGGGATTCGATCCCGCGACCTGCGGGTCAGCAGCCGAGTACCTTAGCCACTAGACCACCGCGGCGGGGCACCAATATAGATAGGATAGGCAAAATATCGGAGGAGTTTTACAGAGATCTGTACAGTGGCCAGGACAACCACGACCTTAATATGAGAACTAGCAGTAACCCAGGTGACACCCCACCAGTAATGATGGAAGAGGTCAGAAAAGCCTGGGAAAACATGTAGAGAGGCGAAGCTTCTGGTGAGGATCAGGTAACATCAGATCTGCTGAAATATGAAGGTCAAATTGTGTTTGAAAAACTAGCCATCCTGTTTACGAGGTGTCTCCTGACGGGAAGAGTACCAGAATTTTGAAAGAATGCTAACATCATCTCAACACATAAGAAAGGAGATCAGAAGGACTTGAAGAATTACGGGTCAATCAGCTTGCTCTCCGTAGTATACAAGCTATTTAAAAAGGTAATTGCTAACAGAATCAAGACAACATTAGAATTCAATCAACCAAAGGAACAAGCAGGATTTCGGGCAGGCTACTCAACCAAATTGACATCATTCATGCTGTCAATCAGGTAATAGAAATATGCCTAGAATATAGCCAACCACTATACATAGCCTTCATAAATTACGAGAAGACGTTTTATCCAGTAGAAATATCAGAAGTGATGCAGACACTGTGGAATCAGGGAATCGACAATTATAAAAATATAATAGCCCCCGTGGTGTCTATATTCGTTTCTTTCTGTGTGTGGTTGCTCTCTCGGCTGGACGTTGAATAACTATTTAAGACATACATAAATGTACTGGCAGAAATCTACAGGGGATCAACGGCTACCATAGTGCTTCATAAAGAAACCAACAGAATACCAATAAATAAGGGTGTAAAGCAGGGGAATACAATCTCCCCAATGCTATTTACGTCATGCTTACAAGAAGTTTTCAAAGGCCTAGAATGAGAACAGTTATGGATAAGAGTTAATGGAGAGTACCTTAGTAACTTGCGCTTCACCGATGGCATTGCGTTGCTGAGTAAATCAAGGGACGATGTGCAACTCATGATTATGGAGTTAGACAAGAAAAGCAGAAAAGTAGGTCTTAAATTAATTTGCAAAAAATGAAAGTAGCGTACAACAACCTCTGAAGAGAGAACCGCTTCGATATAGGTGATAGCGCACTTGAAGTGGTAAAAGACTATGTCTACTTAGAGCAGGTAATAACCGCGAAACCGAACCACTATATTGAAATAACAAAAGAAAAGAATGGGCTGGAGTTCATTTGGCAAGTATTCTCATATTATAACAGGTAGATTGCCAGTATCCATTAAGAGGAAGGTATATACCAGCTGCATCTTGCCAGTACTTAGCTACGGAGCAGAGACCTGGAGTCTTACAACGTGGGTTCAGCTTAAATTGAGGACGACGCAGTGAGAAATGAAAAGGAAAATGGTTCGTGGAACATTACGAGAGAAGAAGAGGGCAGAATGGATCGGGGAACGAACCGGGGTAAACGATATCATAGTTGAAATCAAGAATAGGGAATGGAAATGGACCGGGCATGAAGCGCGGAGACAGGAAAACCGCTGGTCATTAAAGGTAACTAACTAGATTCCCCGAAAAGGCAAGCGGGATAGTGGGAGACAGAAGGTTAGGTGGGCAGATGAGATTAAGAAGCTTGCAGGTATAAATTGGCAGCAGCAAGCACAGGGCCGAGTTTACTGGCGGAACATGGGAGAGGCCTTTGTCCTCCAGTGGACGTTAGTCAGGCTGATGATGATATTGATGATGATGACTTGGGCGGTTGTCAATTAGAAAGCAAGTATTTCCCATATTTCAGGCACCATAACAAAACGTCGATGTTCTGCGTGTGTGTCTTTTTACTAGAAAAGGCATACATATGTAATTTTAAGGATTGAAGCATTTATCATGCTGCGCTGGCAAAGTGACGCTTACAATAAAAGGCAAGTGTTTCCAGCGCTTTGCTAAGGCGACATAGTAGTGGCACTTACCCGTCGCTTTGCTTTCTACGCCTTATCTCCTCCGAAACAGGCGCGCACGCTACGCGCTTTGTTTCACAAGATAACTCCCAGATAGCGCTCAAGTCTTACTGATGACGTGGCTCAATACGGTCGTTCACCTCCGCTGCACGCATCCGGGAACTCTAACGCAGCGTCTCCAAGGTACCATTCACCGACTTTCTTGCGCAGATCGTCAAATGAACGTTTTTTTCACTCTCTCCA